CCCAATTCCCACATCCCCCAATTCCCACATTCCCCAATTCCCAAATCTTCAAAATCCAAAATCCTCCAATTCCCAAATCATCCAATACCCAAATCCTTCAGAATATTCAAAGATCAAATAAGTTTCCACGTTTCGAGAGCTTCACAAGGTCCACAATTTTGCAGTTTCCAATAGTAATTTTAATGTAGCAGTTTTAATAGTAAGTTCACAAATTTGTACTTTTCTTTTAGTAATCATAACTGAAGTAGAAATTTATACTATTGGAAGTACAACTGCAAGTACAATTTCGTAATGAAAAATATCAGTAAAGAAAGCATTAAAGAAATAGTGTAAATTATTAGAAATAAAGAACAGTTCGAGAGTTAATTCTGAATCTCCTTAGGTTAAGTAAATACTTGTAGTGTTATAGGTAAATATTTATTTACGTATTATTACGAAGCAAGTGTTATTTGCATACGTCACGTTTCACGTGTGTTCGCAATGTAGTCCATAAATAATTGTTTGCTTTGGCACTGATCTACGTACCTGTCACCAGACCATCCGAATTCCTGAAAAGAGAAACACTCGGTCATTTACGGAAATACTGTTACGGTGTCATTAACCCTTTGCAGTTTAACACTAATTTCAAACGATAATCGTACCAGTTAATTATCGGTATTCAACAAAATATTTAGTAAATAATTTTCATCTGCAAAGAATTAAAATTTTAGGTACAACTTTTAAGCAATAAATTATAATTCTGTAAAGAGTCCTTGAATTTTTAAATCATCTACTATCTCCAAAGTTTACAAGCTTATTAGTCAATCATCATACTATTCAACAAAATATCTAATAAATAATTTTCATCTGCAAAGAATTAAATTTTAGACACAACTCTTAAGCAATAATTTATAAATCTGTAACGAGTCCTTGAATTCTTAAATCATCTACTATCTCCAAAGTTTACAAACTTATTACTTGATCATCTTACTATTCAACAAAATATTTAATAAATAATTTTCGTCTGCAAAGAATTAAAATTTTAGATACAACTCTTAAGCAATAATTTCTAATTCTGTAAAAAGTCCTTGAATTCTTGAATCATCCAGTATTTTCAAAGTTTACAAACTTTACGTTTGAATTAGAAGTTCGTCAAGGATCCCCAAGAACTCTTATACTGTTGAAGTATACCGATGCTCGTGAAAATCTAAGGCAAAGATTTTTAATGAGATTCATACGAGGTTCAAGACATTCCTGTGTTATCTGCGTAGAACGCAATTGCTCGGACGTTGAGTCACGTTGCAATATAGGTATCGGTATTTTAGTGCACCTACGTATGTCAGATCGAAATTTCGAAGGCACTGACCACTGTCATATTTCGGTCAATTTAAGATTCAGCTGTTTCAATTAGGACGTAATGTTATTGTATTGGATGCAGTTGCATTGTTAAAAACATAAATTTTGTCTTGGTGGCTCGCTTTTAATATCATTTTAAATATATCAATAATATGGTGACACTTGAGTTGATAGAAAATAAAATTTCAAAAGACAAATGTATATTATTAGTAACTATGTGATTGTATCAATTATTTGAGATAGATCAATAGAATAAATTTTTGATAAACAAAATTAGAAGATTTGTAATATCCAAAAATCTTTTGGTTACATCAATCACTATCATAAATTATTTCAGTAGTCAAATATAATTTGATATATATTAATATCACTATCATTTTATATTATAATAAAGAATGTTACAATTTTCCAACTAACATATTTTAAAATTATGTTGAATGTCAAAATTATGATACAAATATTGTATTACAATTTCCTTATAATTAAAAAGATCAACATCACAATTTTAACAATTTATAATATTCACAATATCAATGATGATAGTAATTTTCTATGAAGATAGAAAGAACTAGCTTGAACTTTTAAAAATAAAAAACAGTGAAATAATGTGAAAGTTTCATTTGCTCCGAACCACAAAAATAAAGTAGAAAGCAACGCGTCTTTTATCGATGAATCCCCTAGCGAAGAATCTCACTGCACCAGCTGACACAACAAAGAGCACCGAGTCCCAAAATACCTGAATCGAAGTGTATTTTCTGAATTCCACGTGCGAGCGATCTACTCGGGAACGAAGTAACGCGATTTATTTGCTTTCGCGAGACACGTTGTCGTATGGATCGGCTCTACCGAACTGCTTTTGGAATTATCAAGGAACGATGAATGGTAACCCACATACACACGTATTGTCACGACCGCGAGTTATCTTTCCATGACTCGGCTTGCTTCATTACCTAATCCTTTTAAGGAAATCTTCGCTCGGAAGGCCTCGCTTAATTACCTTACCAACCAATTGCTCGCTGTTAATGAGTTCTGATAATTTCATCTATCTTACTAGATTTGTTGGAAGATTTATTTACGTACTCATACATACTTCATTGTTCATTTCAGAGGATAGAAAAATTATTTAATTTTTAGGTACAATTATGTACTATGTAATAATTGTGTACATTGAAGCAAGAATGATATGTGCATATGTGATATCTAGTTGATAAAAAGATACTCATGTGTGATATACATATGAATGTCCACATATGTAAATATTCATTCTTGATGCAATTATGTACTATGTAATAATTGTATACATAGAAGCAAGAATGATATGTGCATATGTGATATTTAGTTGATAAAAAGATACTCATGTGTGATATACATATGAATGTCCACATATGTGTAAATATTCGTTGTTGATGCAATTATGTACTAAGTAATAATTGTATACATAGAAGTAAGAATGATATGTGCGTATGTGATATCTAGTTGATAAAAACATACTCATGTGTCATACACATATGGAAGTCCACATGTGTGTAAATATTCCTTCTTGGTACAATTATATGTATGCTATGTAATAATTATAAACATGGAAACAAACATAATATGTACGTATATGATTTTTAGTTGATGAGTTACATACTCATGTGTCATACACATATGAACGTCCACATATGTCCACATATGAGTTACATACTCATGTGTCACAATTATGTACTATATAATAATTGTGTACATAGAGATAAAAATAATATGTACATATGTGATTTTTAGTTGATGAGTTACATACTCATGTAACATATGTGTGTCACATATGTGAACGTCCACATGTGCAAATATTCTCGGATATTAAAAATTACATTTCATCAACTTGTTCTTCCTAAAACAAGCAACTTTTATCATAACTTTGACAAGCTTCTGAATAAAAAGCTTCTCAATATACAAAGATATTATTGATTTAATTTTTCTTCGTCTAATTCTTCACCTAATAGGTTATGGAATAAAGAAATCACGAGTGCAGCCTATATTCCATCACAATTCAGAATAATCGTGAATAGAGGTTAAACGATAACTGCTTTCAAACGACGACAAATTGTAACACGATCGTTCAGTCACTCGTTTCTGACTGGCGATATGCTTGCTAGGCGAAAAATGGCCGGCAATCATTTCGCTGATGAAATTGCGTGTAGTCGCGGTTATGATGATCCTCTATTTAAAGATGCGATATTTTTACAACGGTTTCAAGGAGCGGTCAGCTATCTGTCTAATATCGATACTCCTCTATTTTTACTATTAGCACTGTCGGTGATCTGTCCTGGTAGATTACTATATTGCTTGTTTCACAAGGTGACTGAACCTTATGAAACCTGGAAGTAAACGAAGATTGATCTCTTTTAACCGAAAAAACAACTGACAAGTCACACACTTCCGGACTTAACTGCGAGATCGCGAAATAGTTTGAAAAGAATAACAGATTGAATATTTGCCAGAAATACTGAGTATAATTCTTACGTCTTTGAAGTACTTTGACGTATACAAATTACTGTATTGTTGGATACCTGTTGTCTAAGTTACACGTGTTAACTTAGGATTTTTTAAACATGGAGTTGTCTGTAAAGAATTCCATTCTGAATTTTGGAAATTTCAAATTTATTGTCCTGTAGGTTAGAGAAATTGCAGTTCCTAACATTTGAAAGATTCACAATTTAAAAATTTGAAATATAACAAATTTGAGAATTGAGAAATTAGAAAATTTGAGTATTCAAACTATTCCAACATCAGTTCCTTTAAAAGTAGAGTCCAGAAGTGCCCCATTTGTTCAGAGCTAACGCCGGTACTGCACGTCCATTTTCCCCGTAGTCAGTGTTATAAAAAAGACTTGTCCTCGACCATCAAGTAACCCCAAATCACCATCACAGTGACACGTGTAAAAATGTGAGCCAGATCCGAGCATCCAATTTGATCACGCGTTTATTTTTTTTCCAGCAGGGTATCTCGTCGTTCGATCATCGTTCAGCTAAAAATCACGCCGCGAAAATGTTCGATGTGTTCACCAGGAAAATCGAGTATTCATTATGAATTAACGTTGCTTTATCGGTAACAATGATGTCACTCGATTCGACGTTAAAATTAGTGACGAAACATGATGTTATACGTCTGCGTATATAGTCGTATTTCTTCATAAAAATACTACCAACCATAAATATGGACATTTACTTGGGAAACTCGCAAATTTTCCTCGAATAAACTCGCACAGTGTTGCGATATATAAATCGAATCGGCACGTGCCGCGACTGCGGTGCCAAAATAAAAGCGCCGTTGTTTCGAGGCGTTCTCCAAAATTCTATTATTATATGAGACTATAGAAGTTCGATTCATTGTCGTCGGATCTTAGGTATCTTAGCATCAGTTTGGGAATTTGGAGGTTTAAGGATGTAGGAACTTAGAAATTTCAGATTTAGACGATAGCACTATGAGTTATATCATTTACGACGCGTTGGTATTGCTATGTGATGTATTACCAGGTGTTAACTATGCTACGCGTCGCATCACCATGCGTGAATATTCCTACGCGCCGTATTACCACGCGTGAGTATTACTACGCGCCCTATTACCACGCGTGAATATTACTACGCGCCATATCACCACGCGTGGGTATTGCTACGCGCT